AAGATCTCTGAGCGAAATTGTGTTTTTGAGAATCCGCTGTAAGTCGTTGTATATAATTCCAGGTGATTTGATTGCTGTTGTGATGAACAGCAGGAGCCTGAGGGGAACAGCAGGAGCCCGAGGGAACAGTGCGGGGGCATCATTTGAGCTTCTTTTGTTAGATCTGCAGCAAAACAAGGTTCACTGAGCTGAGTGTGTGTATATAATATATATATATATATATATATATATATATATATATATATATATATATATATATATATATATATTAGATATATATATATATATTAGATACTCTGTATAGACACACAGAGACACAGGTACATACAGACACAGGTACACACAGACACAGGTACATACAGACACAGGTACACACAGACACAGGTACACACAGACACAGGTACACACAGACACAGGTACACACAGACACAGGTACACACAGACACAGGTACATACAGACACAGGTACATACAGACACAGGACACAGGTACACACAGACACAGGTACACACAGACACAGGTACATACAGACACAGGTACATACAGACACAGGTACATACAGACACAGGTACATACAGACACAGGTACACACACAGACACAGGTACACACAGACACAGGTACATACAGACACAGGTACACACAGACACAGGTACATACAGACACAGGTACATACAGACACAGGTACACACAGACACAGGTACACACAGACACAGGTACACACAGACACAGGTACACACAGACACAGGTACACACAGACACAGGTACATACAGACACAGGTACATACAGACACAGGTACACACAGATACAGGTACATACAGACACAGGTACACACAGGTACACACAGACACAGGTACACACAGACACAGGTACATACAGACACAGGTACATACAGACACAGGTACATATAGACACAGGTACATACAGACACAGGTACATACAGACACAGGTACATACAGACACAGGTACATACAGACACAGGTACATATAGACACAGGTACACACAGACACAGGTACATACAGACACAGGTACATACAGACACAGGTACATATAGACACAGGTACACACAGACACAGGTACATACAGACACAGGTACATACAGACACAGGTACACACAGACACAGGTACATACAGACACAGGTACATATAGACACAGGTACATACAGACACAGGTACATACAGACACAGGTACACACAGACACAGGTACATACAGACACAGGTACACACAGACACAGGTACACACAGACACAGGTACTTACAGACACAGGTACATACAGACACAGGTACATACAGACACAGGTACACACAGACACAGGTACACACAGACACAGGTACATACAGACACAGGTACATACAGACACAGGTACATACAGACACAGGTACATACAGACACAGGTACATACAGACACAGGTACATACAGACACAGGTACATACAGACACAGGTACATACAGACACAGGTACACACAGATACAGGTACATACAGACACAGGTACACACAGACACAGGTACACACAGGTACTTACAGACACAGGTACATACAGACACAGGTACATACAGACACAGGTACACACAGACACAGGTACATATAGACACAGGTACATACAGACACAGAGAGACAGGGGAAAGACAGGAGGGCAGTGCAGAAAATCAACACGACAGGTTGTGAAAGAAAAACAAAAGAACCAATGTCAATAAGTTAAAAGAACAGAACCCACAGCGTGACAAGGAAACACTTTTCCTGTGTCCAGAGTTAGTCAGGCGTGTCGTCAGAAGCTGCATGACCGAGCCTTCTATTCTCACTGATACCTTTCTGAGCCCGTAAAGAAGAAAGCAAAAACAAATGTGTCTAACAGGCCATAAGTGTCGGACCCAACAATCGCTGTCACTCCTCTGCCGCCGCCGGGGTCAAGGCTGCTCCTGCTCAGACAGCCGCTAATGCTATGGCGCTGCTTAAACACAAGACAGATCCTGCTGCTGTGTTTACTCCCCTCCATGACAACGGCCGCTACGCGCTGACCGCTAGCCCCCGTTAGCTCCTCCGTGACTTGTGCTCGGGAGCGTGAGAGAGCGCCTAAGCCCCTCCAGCTGTGCGAGCTCGCTGGGGTCTGCCGTGCGTGCTCGTTAAGTGGGTGATTGACAGCGTTAGCCTGAGCGTGCTATATGGAGGACTGTGGGAGGTCAGGGGTTTGAGGAAGGAAGGAAGGAACGCCACGGTGTGAACGATGGGACACGGCTATAACAGATGATTTAAGTAGTTATGACTAATAATAACTTAACTTTTTGATGGATAGAGCGATGGAGAGAGAGACATTTATCAACATTTATGGACATTGGTCATGCGCCCCTTAGGCACCAACGGCTCTATGTGTTTTTCATGATTGCATTTCCTGTGTTGGAGCTGTTTGATTCTCTGATCTGTGTTTGCGATTCGACGGCTTGCACAGTCCTCCGGGAGAACTGCTGTGGTTTAGGGCTATACAACAGCAAATTGATTTGAATTGAGAGAGAGATAGAGAAAGATAAATGGAGAGAGAGAGAGAGATTAATAGATGTGGAGATAGATGGATGTGGAGAGTGAGAGAGATAAATAGATAGATAGAGATGGATGGAGAGAGAGAGTGAAAGAGAGAGAGATAGAGATGGAAAGGTCGGACAAATCCAGGAATCTAGCGGCAGAAACACATCTATACAAATATATGACAATAGTTAACATGATACTCTGACCGATTATAATTGGTTTCATGCTCTCTGGTCCCTCTCTGGTCTCTCTCTGGTCTCTCTCTGGTCTCTCTCTGGTCCCTCTCTGGTCTCTCTCTGGTCCCTCTCTGGTCTCTCTCTGGTCTCTCTCTGGTCTCTCTCTCTGGTCTCTCTCTCTGGTCTCTCTCTGGTCTCTCTCTGGTCTCTCTCTGGTCTCTCTCTCTGGTCTCTCTCTGGTCTCTCTCTGGTCTCTCTCTGGTCCCTCTCTGGTCTCTCTCTGGTCCCTCTCTGGTCTCTCTCTGGTCCCTCTCTGGTCTCTCTCTGGTCTCTCTCTGGTCTCTCTCTCTGGTCTCTCTCTCTGGTCTCTCTCTGGTCTCTCTCTGGTCTCTCTCTGGTCTCTCTCTCTGGTCTCTCTCTGGTCTCTCTCTGGTCTCTCTCTCTGGTCTCTCTCTGGTCTCTCTCTGGTCTCTCTCTGGTCTCTCTCTGGTCTCTCTCTGGTCTCTCTCTGGTCTCTCCCTTGTCTCTCTGGTCTCTCTCTGGTCTCTCTCTGGTCTCTCTCTGGTCTCTCTCTGGTCTCTCTCTGGTCTCTCTCTGGTCTCTCCCTTGTCTCTCTGGTCTCTCTCTGGTCTCTCCCTTGTCTCTCTGGTCTCTCTCTGGTCTCTCTCTGGTCTCTCTCTGGTCTCTCTCTCTGGTCTCTCTCTCTGGTCTCTGTCTGGTCTCTGTCTGGTCTCTCTCTGGTCTCTCTCTGGTCTCTCCCTTGTCTCTCTGGTCTCTCTGGTCTCTCCCTTGTCTCTCCCTCTTGTCTCTCTCTTTGAATGCCCCTGTAAACATCTGTATATATAAATGTCTATCCAACATCCATCCAGAGCAGTATAAATGAGGTGGCAGAAAACGTATCATTGGATTTTACATTTGTTTTGAGTCTTGCCGCCGGTCGTTGCCAAGAATGAAGTACGGCTTAGTCTCTCTCTGGCTCATAAACGCTATTTTCCTCACTCCCCCGCCTCCCAGCCTCTTCCCTATATGGCTCTCTCTCGGTCTCACCAAACGGATCACTCACAGCTTTGGAGATGTCGAGTCGGATGCGCTTTTATCCAGAACAGATTGTCAGAACAGAAACGCCGTATGGAAAGGCTCACGACGGGAGAGACAGCGTTTGCTAATCTCAGCGTATCTGGACCTACATCTATGGACTGTGAGAACACGCAGACTCCCTCTTCCTTCCAGCTGTAATGAAACAGTCTTAAACAGCAATAATTCAATTACGCAATGTGCCGTTTCAAAAGGACAGCTGGCAAGAGCCGTCTCACTCTCTCTGCCTCAAAGAACATAATGAGCAACAGGTTTTCACTCTTTCACTTGTGCTTTTATGTGCGAGGATGTTCCAGACTCTGTGAAGTTAGACACAGAACTATTGTCAAACGATTGGATCCTAAAGGAAAATAAGGATGGGTCAAACGGACTGATCTCTCTCTCTCTCTGGTCTCTCTCTGGTCTCTCTCTGGTCTCTCTCTCTGGTCTCTCTCTGGTCTCTCTCTGGTCTCTCTCTGGTCTCTCTCTGGTCTCTCTCTCTGGTCTCTCTCTGGTCTCTCTCTCTGGTCTCTCTCTGGTCTCTCTCTGGTCTCTCTCTCTGGTCTCTCTCTTGTCTCTCTCTGGTCTCTCTCTCTGGTCTCTCTCTGGTCTCTCTCTCTGGTCTCTCTCTCTGGTCTCTCTCTGGTCTCTCTTTACACACTTAACTAAGTAAAAATATAATGTCTATTCCAAACATTCCTCAAATATGATTCTTTCTTCCATTATTATCAGACACATTTCTTCAGAGCAGAGTTAACATCAGAAAAACATCTCTGTGTAAAACTCTTGCTGGAATGAGTTCTGTGCCCTTGATCTCCAACACATGTTTTAAGCAGTTAAAGAATTGTGAAAGAATTGTGATGCATGCTTCTGTGAAACCGAGCCCGGCTCAGGCCCCTCCCTCCGTAAAAGCTCTGATAAGACCCAGCCTCTGGTCTGAACATTCCCCACACCCTCAGACCAGCTTCAGCAGACATGTTGATGGATGCCCGGCCCCCTGTTTGTTTCCCTATCGCTCTGCTGCTTCCTGGTCCTTCAGGGTTGGGCAGGTGGAGGGAGAGGGGGGAGACGGGGGGACGGGGGAGTCATCCATGGGGGCCTCTGTTATTCAAACAACCCAGCAGCTCCCCAGGGTCAGGAACAGTTTGTTTGCTAAGTACAAGAGTGTTGATACAAGACAAGTGAAAGCAGCGACGTTCTCTGGGGACTGATCGCTGTGAGGAAAGTGCT